TTAAAAATAGATGTAAGTATTAAATTCTCTCTAAATTCTTTCTATTTCGATTCTTTTCTCAACTTATTTTAACTTCTTTACACGCGACGATACAACTTTTTTTCGTTTAATAAACTATAATATAAGAAATTAATCATCGATTATCGTAAATTATACGTTCAGTTGTCCACAAAAAAATTTCATTTTCATGCGAACGCCGAGTTTAAGTACCCCCACAAGACATTTGCATCTGACGCTTTTAGTCCAAAGTTCCACTTTTAAAACTGTGTTCAACCTCGGGTGAAAAATCGATCCGCAATAAACAAGCTTCTAATCGGCGTTCAAGTGGCGAGAAATTAACTTTAAATCGGCGAACTCGAAAAATCCTTGACTCGATTTCTCGTCAAAGTGCATAAAGTTATTTCTTTTTTTCCATTTTGAACCGTGTTTTCTTTTCTCTTCTTCTTCTTTTTCTTTTTTCACAGGTTACGTTTATTTCTTTTTCCGTAACCTTTTATCGGTTTCATACGCGCCAGTCATTTCAGAGTACAAAAAAACTCAATTTGGTTGACGGACACCGTCACACGAGTGCAAAAGTGATCAGTCCGGTCTACCTGTCGATCTATATTGCACTGAATCATCCGCGTGACTGTCGAGATAGATAGCAACACGCGCCAACAGCCCGACCTCTTCATTTCTGTCCAAGACGAGGGACGAATTTTTTCTCTATAACTCTGTCATTCGAAAATATCAAACGCAAATGAACTTAATTTTCCAAAAATTAGTTCCCATCGAAATATCTTAGTTGATGAAATCAGTCTATTTAACTTTAAACATAACATTTTATCGTATTTCGATAAGATCACTACGTGTTCAATCTAATCTAATCTCTCAGAGCTTGAAAAAATACTTGGAACATACTGCGTGCATTTAATTTTATAGATAAATTGTCAATACCCTTGCACGTTTTCATCAATAATTAATGATAAACCTCTGCTATCGCAAAGATATATGTATATCCTAAATTAGGACAAGTTATCAGATGCTACATATTTCTTTTTTCAAGGCGATTCGTCGATCCTTATCGATTACCAAAGTCGACAATGTTTCGACGACAGAAAATGTGTATATATATATATATGACTAATGAAGCCACGTTGAATCAGTTACAGGGATGTTCAGAGAAAGTTACAAGTAACAAGTAGACGATACAGAGTGATTCTTTCATCCAAAGATAGTATTGCTGTCCAAACTGAGGCGACAAGTCCATATTTGTTTAGAATAATGATACAAAGAGAGAAGAAACGAGGGAAATGTAATATTAGGCAACGCGAGAGGCGAACCACAAGGGCAACAGACAGTGTTAGCAAGCTTAGTAGAAAGTAAAACAATGCTGTTCATCCCACGTTTCGTGAGCAACGCTGAAAGCAAAGCTAGGAAACTAGGGATGACACCTAGGTGTTGTTCCAAAATCGTCGTTTTCGAATTACACTTGCAATTGTCCGGGGGCAATTGCTGAGTGCGAAGCACCAATATTAGCGAAGGTGAGCTTGAAACTTAGATGAGGTAGATCGAAATTGTCATTGGATGACGAGGATCACGGTTTCAAAAGAAGAAAGGGGTTTTAAAAGATTTGGCCGAGAGAATAGAGAGCTGTTTTTTTTCATGAAATGTGTTCGTTCGATCGTTCAATACCTTCGAAATATGACATTACGAGTATAAATCGTAAATGCAAATGTAAAATATTTTTTTTTTTAAAACGGAGGAATTTCGTTATATTCGAATGAACGAATAATTTGATGAAAAACGATGCCTTTTGCAAGGTTAATCTCTGATTAAAAGCGAGGAGGGGGAAAAGAAGAGGGGAAGTGAAAGTTTCTTAAACAGATTGGCCAGATCGCGACAAAAAGCGCGACGCTATCGAAATGGCGCTTTTTTCTCGCGATGTAAAGCGTCACGGCAGCAGTTGAGCCTGTGACTTTGAACCAGTGCCAGGGATTTCAATCGAGGCCGCAAATGGCGCGAGCTTTACCTCGAGATCGTTTAAAGGCCAATATAACGCCGGTAGCTACCTTTGCGCATCACAGAACCAACCCCTCTCTCTCTCTCTCTCTCTCTCTCTCTCTCTCTCTCTCTCTCTCTNCTCTCTCTCTCTCTCTCTCTCTCTCTCTCTCTCTCTCTCTCTCTCTCTCTCTCTTTCTCTCGATCAAACAGCCCCCATTCACTTTTCACGATCCATCACCTAGTATCGCGACCAAGTTTCGGTCAGTTTTCCTCTCTAGCTTCGATTCTTTGGTAACTGGTGTAGAATTAACGATACTCGATTACTCGTATCGAATGGCGCAACAATAATTGATCCATTTAACACGTTCACTGCCGCTCTTGAATTTCATTTTTAACGTGTCGTTATTTAAAACGATAATATCTGAAAATCTTATTTTATGCTGGAACATTGGATTTATCGTATCGTGTTATATATTTTCAAAAATGAGAAGAATGAAAAAGTGTTGAAAATGTGAATGAAAAAGTGTTCTCGATGTGCTGTTTCTTTTGAACTAAGTGACAATAATTCGACAAGTTTGTTACATTTATATAATTCATAAGAGAAAATTAGTTTCGAAGAAATATTTGCAATATATTATATATCGTTTAATTTGACTGTCGTGTGAAAATATTTTATTAAATTGGAATAAAAAATAATTCGTGTCAACGTATTAATTATTTCTTTGGAATAATACGATAATATCGTTATAATCAAAGAAATTGAAATATTCGAAACTTAGAATTAAACCAAGTTCAATTACTTTTACTTTTGATCTCGATATGACGTTCCTCCGCGTCCACAGCCACCTTCGTTCCTTTGATCTTTTTTGATGAATTAAATCAACGAATTGGGTCATCGACGTTGAAACGTTTAAACGTGGAAACAATTTGCGCGTAATTTAACATCTGACGGTGTTTAAAGCCACTTTCGAAAATCTTCGAAAAAGGCCAATTTCGAGCGATTCTGATTGGCCAAAGATCTTCGTCGAAGGCTAAAATCACCCGTGTTCTAGCGATTCTAGCGATTCTGTTTAAGCATTCTTCCTAAGAACAATTAACGAAGTTTCGAATCCTGTTCCATGAGTTCAATGATCTCTTCCGATTCGTTTAATCCTTTCAAGCACGAGACGTTTGTTATCTAATTATGCGAGCAATCGTTTTATAACAATAAAAATAAATGGAAATGATCCAATTTGGTTAACGCTTTTCGAATACTTTCAATTGCCACAGGTAGGACACAATGATTTCTTTAAAAATTCAAGCACAATTCGGTTAAAGAGAAACTTTAGAAAGAAGAAAGGGTTGAAACTATCTTTTTTTTTTTAAATCGTGGTTTCAAATGTGTAATAAATATATCCGTGTTTCAATTTTTAATTCAAATATATACAGTTTTAATTTTTAATATACAGAGTCACAGATATTCGATTCACGCGTATCAACACATGATTATTTAATTATAATAAAATACTCGTGAATATTTAAGTACATTAATTTAGAAGTAATTTGGAAAATGAATATATGATTTTGTTTTTCCCTATAATGAAATTTCCTATTATAAATAAATTTATAATTTTAATTCTGTAAACGCACGAACAAAAAGCAATATTCATCAGTCTCATATTCTTCTGTAAAACAAATTTTTACGAAATTCAAATTGAAATATCTCTTAAATCAATAGTTTGAACCATTATTGTAAAAATATAATCTAATTAACAAACTCTTGGAATCTCTATATTAAAAATTAAAAACTGTATATTTAAATCAAAAAGATTAAAACACGAACATACACATTCGACTTTGAACCAAAACGAGATATTACGATCAATAAAAAAAGTTAAGTGAACTACCCTATTTTTTTAAACTATCGTGGAAATCGAACAAAATCGATTCGAAATCGAGAGAAATCATCCCGAAAGAGCAAAGAGCAAACGGCAATGAAATGGAATCGATCCGAACGAGAAAAGAAACGCACCACAGCCTCGTGGCAATGTGTTGATTCAACGGTGACAAAACGGGGCGAGGAGTTGTCACAGCGTCTCCTCGCTGAACAAGGGAGGGGGAGGTGTGGTATATATCGCGGAGGATGGCGGGGAAGTGGCGGCGGGGAGGATAAAAAGGGGGAAAAGTGGCGCTTTGCCGCGACTCGAGCGTTGCCAAGGAAATGAAAAAGAAAGTAGCTTGGTAAGAGAGCGCGGGGGAGGGCGGCCAGTTTAACCCAGAAATCCTCGAAAGTGCATAAGCTTTGTCGTGGAATGAGCTTAGTTAGGGGGACGTTAGCCCAGCCGAGCGTAAAATACGATCGTAATAATGTTTGTTCGTAGCATTTCTGATGCAAGCGTGTCGCTGCGGCTATCTTCCTTCTCCTCTCCGCCTCCCCCCTTCTCGTTTATTGTGCTCGCCCACTTGTGGAACATCCGATGGCTCGTGGTCCATTGACGGGCGGAAATTTGAGAGATTCGAGAAATGGCCGCTTCGATTCGGTTTTTTTCCCAGTCGAGGGATTTCGAGAGAGACGATTGAGGATAACTGAAACGGATCCTCCTTTTCAAGGCGATTGTTATCGCAATCGAAGATATGATACTCGAATTACGAATGATTTTATTTTTCTAACGACAATGGACAGTGGAAATTCGATATTGAAGTTTTTGTACTACGTAGATTAATAATTTTTCGTGGGGAGAGAAGATAAGAAGATAAAAAGAGTGTGACAAATTTTGATTCGTACATTTTATAGAAATCGATCTTTTCTATATAAATTCATGAGTTGAAAGATGAAGGGTTTTTTTTTTCACAGGTGAATGAACAAAATCGTGTATCGTCCTGTGGACGAGTTGCGAAAGAATTTATTATATCGCGTTATTATGAAAATAGATTCATCTAACTCGATTAACGATAAGAGATGGAGGAAAGTGTCCGCTTGAAGAGAAATCTAAGAAATTCTTTCCTTGCCCGTTAAACGAAGCGATCGTGATTTGCAGGTGGCGTGGATCCACGTGGGTCGTCAGATGTTGTTGACCATCCACAAGCACGTGGTCGTGAAGATACCGAGGTTCTCGGTGTCCCACGACAATCAGAAGACCTGGCTGCTTCACATCAACAACGTGCAACAAGACGACCGGGGCTATTATATGTGCCAATTAAACACGAACCCGATGATGAGCCAGGTCGGCTTCCTTCAAGTCGTCGGTGAGCATATTTAATCTTCTTTCGCCCGGTTTACTTACAGCCGGTGTTATTATTACATTATTATACGCGCCAAAAGCGCGTCCAAGCACGCCTTTAACGAGAATTCATCGTGAAAACGATCACAATGGGGATTACTTTGCGAAAGGAAAGCAAACTCTTTATCGATATACAAAGTGGGAAAGATAATTTAAAGCTCAAAGTTCGTTCGGAAAAGAACGAGAAAAAGCGTGCTCGTCCATTTTTTAATTAATTAATTAAAATTAATCGATATTTCTTCCTGTTTATACCCAAGTACCGCCCAACATTTTGGACTCGTTGTCCACCGAAAGCACGGTGGCGGTTCGTGAAAATCAGAATATCACGCTCACGTGCAAGGCGGACGGGTATCCAACACCGAAACTGATGTGGAAGAGGGAAGACGGGCAGAACATAAACATCAATCGACATCACAAAGGTGAGCGTACACGATCACGTCGACCGTTCTCGATCTCTCGAAGCGATGAAAAAGCGAGCAACGCTCGTTCGAGATTCGTTGAAATCCCCTTTTTCGTTTTCGAAAAGGAAATGCTTTGCAGGAAACTGATTCTCAAGTTTCTATCCCCCCATTGAACGATCGTTTAATTTTTCCAATTAGAGAGAATATCACGAAATATCCGTATTTATTCGCGAACGAATTCGCCGAATATTGCCATCTGATATCGTTTAATTATCGTTAAACAAATTGCGAGTTGTTACGTATTAATTCGTGATATCTTCGAATCGAAACCAAAAAATTGGTGAATTTCATTCTCGACGCTTCGAATTTTAACAACATCGATTTTGAGATCGGTTGTTCTTGATTGAAAGATTGTAAACGATTCGATCCTGTAATGGAGAAAAACTATCGAGTTTGTCAAAATGTTAAAGCATCATGTTTTTGCTCGGATTATTATTATTATTATAATTATTTAATGCGTATATTTATATGTGTATACATATTAAGTCATAGGTTAGTAATTAAACGTCATTATCTATTTAAAACTTGTTAAAACAAGATACACGTATGTATCCTATTTAGTTACATTGAAATCGAAATAATTCATGCTAAACCAAACTATAAATTATTTATCGTATTTTATCGTATATCGCTTGCAATATTATTCGTTAAAGTCACGTTTAACGTTAAATCGCTCGTCAATCAAGCGAATTGATCGACCTCGAATCAACCGTTAAAAATCACCCGTATAAAAAAAATTTACAAGTACAAGTATAAAAGAAAATTATTAAAAGAGAGAAAAAGAAAAATATCATCATGCTTGAACGAAAAGAAATATATATACAATCACTTAAAAAAATAAAGACATTGAATATTAATCCGCAGAGTTCAAGTTGACCCACTTTCGAGATAAGTGTGGCACCGAAACTTAAAAAAAGATTAAAGGATCCCCTTTCGGCCAGAAATAAAAATTTCCTCTAAAATTGGGAAAAAATCCGTTCACGAAGTTTTAAAACGCGGGGTAAAAATTCGTAAATTGGTCGAAAATTCGAAACAAGGGGGCAAACACGATTCGATCATCGTTGGAACAAAGCCGTTTCCATTTCCTCTTCTCTGTGCAACGACGTCTGATTAAGCGTACATACGGAATCGGAGTCCCCTATGCTCGTCCTCGCAATCAGAAATCCAAACAATCAGCATCCAAGTCGGTTTTACTGATAAACGTTAAAACTGGAAACGGCAGACAGATGTTCGATTTCCGGTGATTAAACCTCAGAGGCGAACGTGACGTTAAAATAGCCGGAGGGGGAGAGGGAGGGGGGACGTTTCGTAGCGGAGACACACGCGCATACGTTTCCTCGTGTGGCTGTGTATAGGGTTTGTAATCAATTCGAACGAAAGAGAAAGCGGTGGAAAATAATGCCGGCGGCCATTAACCGGAAGCGGAGTATTCCGTTGGTTTTGTTGCCATCGTTCGTCATCGATTTTACACGTCAAACAACGAAACCCGGTCCCGGTGTTTCCGGTAATTTCCCTAATGCAATGGAACACGTAAATCCATTCTCGCCGACGTATTATTAGTATTGTACGGTAATTATTCGTTTGCATGCCCTCGCCTCTCTGTCCCGTCACATTCACGTGATCATCGAATAAAACAAAGGTTTCCGCTTAAAGATATAACATGCATATTTCTGTCACCGGACACGGCCACGATCGTTGTCTCTTGCGGAAGACGCGTCTCACGAACGATGAGTTGAAGATATTTTTTTCAAAGAGCGTGTGTGTTATAAGTGTGTTTCTCGAATTTTTGATTATTATTATGAAAAAGTGCTTTATTCCGCCTATTTTTCTGTAAATTGCTCATTCTGTCTCGTTATTTTTCCACATTATTTTATTCATGGAGGATTCGAATGAATTGATTGTTAATTCTTCCTCTATGTATTTATCGAATAAAATATCTTCACATTATATATTTTAAATTACTTTTTTGCTTTAATTTAAAAGAAGTATTATACTCTGTTGCTGTTTAATCGTTACACACGATTCTTTTTACGCATCCGGCGTGCGAAAAGAAACCTGGATACATTTTTACAACATTCAAAAGTTAACTATCATCGCGCGATATTAACAACGGAGACGTTTTGGAAACTTTATAAACCTCTCTCAAGAGACTTAATCCTTCATAGATCCGTTTATCATACGATGGAATATAAATACCAGCTATATCGAAGCGTATAAGCGACGAAATATCACGGCTCGATCAGCCGTAATTCGTTAATTGGACGCGAGTTAAACACTTAGCCACACATCACCGCGATATAAATCGCGGATTAAAAGCGGACAGAATCTGATGAATATTCCAGCGAACGTGTTGACCCCGTTGTCGCGCGAAAGTGTGTTTAACAATAAACGTTTTGCAGATCTCTACGCTCGATTATGCGAGATCGTGTAAAGTTATCGAAAGAGAGAGAGAGAGAGAGAGAGAGAGAGAGAGAGAGAGAGAGAGAGAGAGAGAGGGAAGAGCGGTGACGAAACGACTCCGGGAAATTGTGAATTAATTCACCGATGCTCTCGCGATACAACGTAATTTCTAATATATCTTTCGACCCGGTGCTCGCATGTCGCTTGTTCATTTTTAAAAGCGGAGCATACCCATCGCGTCAGATTTCACGAACACATAGTTGGAACGCTCTCGTATCAAACTTTTATTCCATTTTTCCCCTCCCCCGCTTTTTTTCTTTTTTCTTTTTTCTTTTTTTTTTTTTGTTTTGTTTTTTAATTCGTTCGACGAAAATTTCACTCGCCATTCGCGTTTATTCTTTATTCGGCCCGCGACTCGCTATTATTCGGCCCGTTCGGCATCCTCTGTTTTCGCGGGAAACGATCCGTGTAGAACGATTTAGTCGCGCCAATAAAAGGAGCCGGATGAGAAACGAGTTTCGAATTTTTCGAGGAAAAATATTCGGGAAAAATGTAATTTTTTTCGCGAGCTTGGCAATGAAATCGTGCGCGTATTGATTATCATAATTTTTATCGTTTATCGTCGAAAGGGAAATGTTGAAATTGCGTGTTTTTCTTGATAACGACGCTTTAAATTAAATGTGTAATTTAAGGGGATAAATATAATTACACAATGTGTTTGCGTAAGTAACAGGAATAGCGGCTGAGGTTGATGAAATAAAAAAAAAAAAATTGATGCACGATAACCATAATGTACGTATTTAAGCACGATTATTATTAAATTTATAAACGATTCACATTAATTTGTTTGTTGTTCGATATTACCAATTATGATTTACTAAAGGATTGAAGTAGATTTATAATCGAGATTATTGAAAGATTATTTCGTTACAACGCGGCATAAACATCACGTTACAATCATTTCTGTCTGTAAGATATCGTTGATTACATGATGGCTCGTGGTATATTGCGTGGCGACATTACGTGTCAAATTGCAGCAAACATGAAAATTTCCAGCGATTGCATTTGTCTAGTGATAAAGTATTCCACAGTATAAGCCTATCCTTACATTAACATTAGCGCGTTATTAGGAATGCAATTAGCCGCTCGTGTAATTGCGCTCGTTGGCATTTCGCACGAATTATCATCCGCCTCTTTCCAACCTAATTTCATCTACAATAATTTGAGGGAAATGAATTGAATTGAAAAAGTTCAATGTATCATTCTAAATATTAAAATTCTTAAGGGTTAACCTTTTCCCCATTTTTGAAAAACCTTCGTTTCAATTTTCGTTTGATTTTAATATCTATTTGATAAAGTTAAGGTAATAAAATATAATATTCTCAAATCGTGGATAATTTTCCAACGATTTGTTTAGAAATTATTCATTCATCGTCGATCTGGTGAAATCGTAACGAATATTATTTTTTTAATAATTTTCAAAAATTGATTACGGAAAAAATTCGAAATGAATTTTCGCGCGTTTGACTTGACGCAATGAATTGTGAATATCTATATATGTAGACTTCTTCTTCTCGCTCACCTGACCGTGTTATTAATAATGCAGTTGCGTGTTTGCACGAACGTGACTGTTACCAGCGTGCACAGCATTTTCTCGGATATGTTCGTGCAAACAGGGAACAAACGAGGTGCGCGCCGAGAAATTTTCATAACGATTTGCTTGCTCCGTGTGTACACCGTTCCCAATAACAGAATCTAAGAAATTGGAGCTATTAAGCCCGCCTTGATCGATTAAACGATAATTCATTTCGCGGAAAAAAAATAAAGGCTGTCGAGCAGCGCTAAAAAGTTATAATTTCATAGAACGGTAACGGTTTTTTAGAATATGATTCTACAGGCAGAATTTAGAAATCGAAATCTTTTGTAAAAAAGAGATTGATGCGAGATTTCTTCGAACGACGCTTTCTCCTTCGTTGAAATAAAAATAATTAAATTTTTTTCCATTAATATTATTTTTACTATATTTGATTATATTTTCATTATTCCAATGAATGTTTGAAAAAATTTTCAAAAATATTCCTCTGATACGTGTTTTCTAAATAATTTCATATCCGTATAAAAATTTAACGAGAAACTTCATCGTTTTACAAAAATAATTTGCATTATTCATCGGCCATTTATTACGCGTAACAAGAATATAGAGAGCGTAATTAAAAGTTAAGGAAAAAGTATGCCGGATAAAGGCAAAAGTTACACGAGGACCGATAATAGAGTCGAAAGAATTTTTTTTTTTCCCCTCAACTAAAAGTTTCTTAAATATCTTACAGAATCGACTTGCTGCTACGCCACTAGCGCAACGTGGCCAGTCGTAAGTGGTTCGACGCTCTGTGGTGGGGGTAATCGAGAAGCGGAAAGCAGTGGCGGCGACGTGAAAATTACGCCGCGCGCATTACGACACGCGAAAACATGAAATATTCAGCGAATACCGAAAAAAAAAATATCTTTTGCCGCTTTTCAAAGGAGATATTTCCCGCTTCAAAAGGAGATTAAGCAGAATG